ATATTTTACCAATAGGACATTCAACGAGTACCTGCTTTAACTATAGGACATTCAACAAGTACCTGCTATAACTATAAGACATTCAACAAGTACCTGCTGTATCTATATGATATTCCACTAGAACATACTATACCAATAGAATATTCAACACTTACCTATTATAGCTATATAACATTCAACAAGTATTTGTTATATCTATAGGACATTCAACAAGTACCTGCTATATTTATAGGATATTCAACTAGAACCTACTTTACCAATAGGATATTCAATAAGTACCTGCTATAACTATAGGACATTCAACAAATACCTGATATAACTATAGGACATTCAACAAGTACCTACTATATCTGTAGGACATTCAATAAGAACCTAGTATACCGATAGGATATTCAACAAGTACCTGCTATAGCTATAGGACATTCAACAAGTACCTGCTATAACTATAGGACATTCATCAAGGACCTGCTACAAATATTGGACAATTATCGAATACCTTCTTTTAATTGAGGACATTTAACAAGTACCTCATTTGACTATAAGACATTAACAAGTACCTAGACTTTATATACACTGGTATATGTGGTTATAATAGACCCCGCCATGAAAAATGAAACAACGTTACTTAGAAAACTAACGGCTTTTTACGAAATAAAATATCATGACAGACAGGAACCAACGACAACCACTGAACTACGGCTCATGACTTAGACAATGTACCGGAGTAAAACATTAAACATGTATGTGAGAACCCATTAACCCATTAACCTTTGACAGTGGTATAACGGCACAACATAAGAACAAACTATATAAACTCTTGTTTAATCAATCATTATTATATTTGTTTATGATGATAACGCTGTGTATCACACACTATAATCAGCATCCACTTCACAAGGTTTTTTTTCTGGGTATGAATTAAGTTTTATGATAAACTTGATGAAATTTGGATACTACGGAATCATATTTGGGACAAACTAGAATTAAAATTGGCATTGAACTTTTGTTTCAAATTCGAAATTTTGACAAATCAAATCTTATTGAAACATCGAATTTTCAACTTTTCAAATCTCGAAATTTTAGCTATTAGAAATTTTGAAATTTCGGCTTTTAGAAAGTTGAAAGTTTTGACTTTTTGAAAAGTCGAAATTTCAGCTTTATAAAGTCAAAATTAAGACTTTAAACTCAAAATTTCAAGTTTTAGAATCTGGAAATTTCAACTTCTCAGTATTTATATGTTTATATGTTCTAAAACTAGAAAACTGAGGCGCTCATGAGTCGTCCTGAATATGCATGGCATATTTTGCCACTTGATTTACCATTGTTTCAACAAGGCAAAGTCGTTGACCTGCTTTTGGGATACCGAACAGGACTTTTAACCCAATCATAAAACATAGGATGCAAAATGTCCTTAGATGTGACGACCCTATGACAGAGTCGTGGACACTAAATAATGGAATATGGGAAAATAACATTATTTTTTTTTCTGTCAACACGCATGCTCCTTCCGAATTAAACTCTTCAATCTTAAATGTTAATCCATATCATTATTAAAGAGAACAAAACTATTTCTGAATATAAATTGACAAAATGTTTGGATGACGCTTTATTTATTTATTTGCGTCCATGTCATCTCCTCCTAAAATTGTAATAGCTGTGTTTGAATACTTATATTAAAGTTGTAATACTTTTTAAAAAAGACGATATTTCAAGATTTCAAAAGTCAAAATTTCAGATTACAGTCAAAATTTCGAGATTTGAAAAGTCAAAAATTTGAGTTAAAGTCGAAATTTTTAGATTTGACATGTCAAAAGTTCGACTTCGAAACAAATGTGCCCATTTTATTTTTTACTATGTCCCTATATTTTTCTTATTGTTGATGGACGAACAGTTGTCTATAATTGCTTACACCCAATTCATTTGAACTTTGGTGGAATAGTTGTCTTATTGGCAATCATATATTACCACATAACACCTCCTTATTCTTTATATTGCTATAAAGAAATATCGTGTCACTGTACTACTAGTTTAACCTAAACACGTTTCAAATTTTTGACAGAAGAAACAAGGTAACTGTATGCATGGGACTAATAGTTTGTATGTTTGCTTAGTCCAGACTCCAGGTTACGGAAATCGTATTACAGATATTTGAAATGTAAAAAATGGAAGGGTTGAAATTCCGTGTCCTATTTGACTAACAAAAAAATACCTACAAATCGATTATGTTGGCCCAAGTAAACAAATCGATCGAGAATTTAGTCAGTGGTAAACATGAATGTGACACTATGTTTTGATTTTTTCATGAACTTAAATATTGATATGAATAGATCTTTTCAAAGCTCTGATAGGGACAATGCAGAATATTTAACCACGTGGCTATCACCAGAAGAGTAAAAAATTTACATTCAGAGTGGTACACTGAATAAATTCAACAACGGCTTGCCATACGAAAGAGTTGCTTAGTCTATATGTTTGCCAAATATTGGTCAATGCTAATTTGTTTTGTTCCTAATACGCTTCCGTAGGATTGAGTCCATTCACATGGATCAAATTATAATTTGAAATTATTCTGGCAAATTTTATGCACGATTTTAAAAGAAAATTTAATTCAAAATTCAATATTTAATGGTTTATAATCATTAAATAGTTCGAACTTTCCTTAATTGCTTCTCTGGGTCGATATAAGATGGTCCGAGTTGACTTAACATAGTCGGTCCAAAATCAAAATTTCTCCGGACCGACTTGTCCAATAATCATCATTAAAGCGTTTGACAGATAAATGATTGGTTTGCCTTATATTAAACGCTAAGGTAACATTGATGTTGATTTTTTAATATTAAAAAATCAGCGTATTATTCAATATTAAAAATTCATTTATTAATATTAAAATATCAGACTGAATATTTAATATTAAAAAATTATTTTTTAATATTAATAAATGATTTTTTAATATTAATAAATGATTTTTTAATATTAAATATTCATTTATTAATATTAAAAAATGACAGTATTTTTTAATATTAAAAAATCGATTTATTAATATTAAAAAATCGATTTATTAATATTAAAAAATCGATTTATTAATATTAAAAAATCGATTTATTAATATTAAAAAATGATTTTGTAATATTAAAAAATCATTTTTTAATATTAATAAATGATTTATTAATATTAATAAATGATTTATTAATATTAATAAATAGGGAATAAATTCCATAACGGCTTGCCATACAAACGTCGTCTGTGGTGACTCAGGACTGTGCTTGTGTAACAGTAAATTCAGTCCGGTAGTAAAATTTGTCCGCCAGACTTTTCTTCCTAGGTAGGCAAGTCCGTGAACATAATTTTACTAGGAATGTAAGTCCCTGGATAAATTTTCCTAGGAAAATAAGTCCATAGCTAGTAAAATATGTGTCTGGCACTTATTTTCCTGGGAAAAGTTTTATATATCCATATTTTTATTTTTTACTATGAAAAAGGTCCCTTTAAAACTTTATTTCTCAAGACATTCTTTAAAATTAATCAATATTAAAATTAAGAAAGGAACATTTGTAATTATGTACATCATTCAGCCTGGATATCACTTTTCCTAGGAAAAAAAGTCCGTTAAATTATCAAAAAAACACCCATATTTTAATAAAATAGTGAAAATCAATGCACAACTGTTAAACGATTTAAAAACATATAAGAATTAAAAATTCCATTGTTTACATGTAAACTATTTCTTGCATTACAAAATTTCCGATAAAAATAAAGGACATGGACAAAACGTCCTAGGAATATCAATACCCTGGACATGAAATCCTAGAAAATTAGTCTGGGCACATAAATTTTATTCAAAAATTAATGCACAACTGTAAAACAACATTAAAACAAAAGAATTTAAAAATCCTTTGTTTATATGTAAATGATTTCTTTTATTACACATTTTCCTAGTAATATAAAGGACATGGACGTTTTTACCTGGGAATATTAATGACCTGGACATGAATTCCTAGGAAAATAAGTCTGGGCACATACATTTTATTAAAAGATTTTAAAATGTACACTGACTATTAAACAACATTTAAACATATTAAATTAAAAATTCCATTATTTACATGTAAATGATTTCTTTTATTAAACATGTTCCTAGTCAAATAAGGTACATGGACATTTTTACCTGGGAATATTGATGACATGGACATAAATTCCTAGGAAAATTAGTCTGGGGACATAAATTACTGACATCGGACTAAATATACTAGTAAATTCTTTAACCATGGACATTTTATACTAGTAATATTTGTCCGCCCGGACACTTTTTACCAGGACTAATTTTTCTCTTACACTTGCGCATACGTTTTCAAAATTATAAATTAACTGTTTACAAAACTTTGAATTTTTGAAATACTAAGGCTTTTCTACCGCAGGAATAGATTACCTTAGGGAGCTACCATTTGATTTTTATGGGGGGGGGGGGGGGGGGGGGGCTAGGATGGAAAATTTTGTCCTGCCTTTTTATGTTTCCCTCTATTCGGTCCTGCCTTTTTGTTTTTCACTCTATTCGGTCCTGCTTTTTTTTTTAGTTGATCCTGACTTTTTTTTTACATAAATTGTCATCCTGCCTTTTTTTTTGCAAATAATCTCATCCTGCCTTTTTGTTTTCTCAAAACCCCTGTCCTGCCTATTTTTTTTTCAAATTTCATCCTAGCCCCCCCCCCCCCCCCCCCCCCCCCCCCCCCCCCCCCCCCCCCCCATAAAAATCAAATGGTAGCTCCTTTAGCTGTATTTGGCAAAACTTTTAGGAATTTTTGGTCCTCAATGCTCTTCAACTTCGTCCTTTATTTGGCCTTTTTAACTTTTTTTGATTCGAGCGTCACTGATGAGTCTTTTGTAGAAGAAAAGCGCGTCTGGCGCAAATACAAAATTTCAATCCCTGTATCTATGATGATGAGTTTATTTGCATCAAATTGATGCAATGAAAATTGGTGACATTATCCAATCAAAATGAACGTTACAAAACGATGTTGCATTAGAATGTTCATTATCTCCCATGACTGAAACTTTTGTACTTCCTGGTTGAAACTTGTGCTGTAAATTGTTGGGAAGAATAACCTACAGGAGCTACGCTTCTTCATTATAACTCAGGTTACATATCAAAAGCGTATCTAATATTCATTATCTCCCCTCTATGGGATATTTTGTACTTCCTGGTTGAAATTATTTTATGAATTTTCGTGAAGTTTCAAGAATAAACATGTAAAGGAGCTATGTTTCTTCATTTTAACTCGAGGTTTCATATCAAAAGCGTATTAGAAATTCATTATTTCACCTCTTTGAAACATTTTGTACTTCCTAGTCGAAACTTTTTGATGAATATTCAAAAGAATAAAGGAGCAACATTTCTTCATTTTAATTCTAGTTACATTTTCTAACTCAGTAACTGTCTAAAGCGTTCTAAAAATCCAAACTGAAAATGTATGACAAGGAAATTATGATATGACTCAGGTGTTTTATCTCTTCTATTGTTTTATATTGTCCTATGGGATTTTGAGTCTGGAGCTTACATTTTTGTATATTTCCAGAAATGTGGGAAAGTCTAAAAACAGAACAGGTAAATCAAGGACAGTTATTTTTGATACATGACTTTTGATTGATTTAACTTATTGTCAAAATTCAAACTGTATAGTAAAGAACACAGGAACAAGACGAGATATTTTTAGAAACGGCAAGAAATTAGTTCAATCATTTCTATTTGTAACTGGTTACAAATGGGTACATAAATTAATGTTAGACATTTGTAGTTTAGTTATTGAGTTATATATATATATATATATAATTCATTCAGAATATTCATTTACATGTATATCTTGACTGGGTTCAACTGGGTAAAAGTATCATTATAACATATATGGCAAAAATAAATTATATGTCAGTGTAGGGTTACCCGACCGACCCTACTTTTGAGCGCCAACCCTAAGTCATTTTATTCCAGTTGTAAAGTGAAAAATTAAATGAACTTGTGTCAAAAGCAAAGTTAGAGTTGCCAATAAAATAAATCAATTTCCTGATACATCTAAATGGTCACAATCATGAATATGACATCTGTTTTAAGAAATAAACGTGACTCGTGTGATGAAATAAACTCTTTGCTGTCATTTTTTTCCAACCAATAACCAAGGGAAATAATCCAATCATTAAAAATATGGACAAATTCAGTCCATGGACACCTACAATGTAGGACCACAGCAAGACGGACCACACGACTCAAAATCATGTTGCAAAATACAAAATGAAAAAATAAAATAAAATGGAAATTCTGACCTACCTACCCTATTTTTTTAAATGATGTATCCTTAAACAGACATATATATACATTTTGTTTTTGCCTAATCAAAGACATCTTCATATTTTTATATAGAGGTTTGTCTTTACAACTGGTTACAGATGGGCAAGCATTAAATGCAAATTCAAAATATCTGAATTTATAACTACTACATTGTACACGAGAATGGTTACACTTGGTAAAAAGAGTAACATTCACCATTTTATGTTTATTTTACTAATATAATCATATATTTTTTCAAAGAATCTGCAAATTGCTGGGTTACAATGTACATTGGTTACTGTGGATTCATTTATTTTCGTGGGTAGCAATTTTCGTGGATTAAGGAAAACTTACATGTTTGTGGAAATTTAATTTCGTGGTTTTACCGAAGTCTGCTAACAAGCCTATAGACATTTTGTTATTCGTTGAACATTTAATTTCGTGGTTAACTGGTAACCACGAAATCCACGAAAATTGGTATCCAACGAATAATAATGAATCCACAGTACATTCTCTTTTAATGTTTAATTACAATTTTTTTTTTTTAAACAATCTTCATTCAAGTTACACGGTTACAATGGTTACACAATGCATATGGTAACACTTGGTTTCAATGTAAATAAATAGAATCTGCTAATTGCTGGGTTACATTGGTTACATTCTCTTTGAATTTTTATTTTTTAGAAGTACTTTTTTTTCAAAACAGGCTTCATTCCCATGTCCAGATACGGGAAAAACAATGGTTATAATTTAGAATAGAATCTTGAAACTTCTGGATTACATTGGTTACTTTCTCTTTTATTTTATATTTAAAAACAGGCTTCATTCCAAAGTCCAGGGGTTTATAGCTGAAAAATAGTACTTATAGAGGTGAGTAGAAAATGACCATATACATGTACAAATTTACATCTGATTTTCACTGAAAGATCCACATACATGTAACACTAAATGTTAACCCATGTTTAATAATATAAGAGTGTTCCTGATTATCTCTGTTTTTGTTCTTTTATAACTGTAATCTTGAAGAAAAGGTAACATAACTTAATATCACTTCTTTTAGTACATTAAATGCACTACTTACCGGTAAGTTAGTGATTTCAGACTCAAGAAAAAGGTAGATAACTCCTATTTGTAATCATAATCACTTATTCAAATAGTTCCCCTGGTTGTTTAAGCATATTACTTACCATAAATGAATAAGATTGCGTGTACATGGATATCCATTAAAATGAACTGCTTTAAAATGGTCTTTAAATCAATTGGCTTGCAGATTTTCATAGAATTATGCCACTCTTGTCCTAGTTCAATATCGCCACGATATAGCCTTGTTGTGCTAATGCGGCGTAAAGCAACCAACAATCAATCAATCAATCCTAGTTCAATACAGAGTACTCTAAAAAGGAGTGGCCACACAGTTACAAAGATTGGTTTTCATGCTTAAATCAATCAAATTATGTATTTGTTCTTCATTGTTACAGAAAAAAGGAAAGACAAAAATAAAGATACCAAGCTATGCAGGCAGGTTATTCCAGAGATGTATTCTCCTCAGGATTTGATACCAAGTTCCTTTGTAACTACTGTGGTAACATACTAAGGGACCCAGTACAAAGTTACTGTGGACATAGATTTTGCAGAGCATGTATACAAGGTCTTGTAAGGTAAGTCAAAATTCTATATTTGCCTGTTTTTTTTCTTCAAAATACAGACTATTTACAAGTCCACAGGGAGCCTTTTTGGAGTTCTTGACTTACACAGTTACTTATCACCTGTGTGCAGTACATGTATATTGATTATTTTGTTTAGTTCATGAGATAAACAATAAAAGGTTGAGTTATAATTCAAAATCTTTTATCTAACAAGGGGCAAAAATGTTTGAGGCTTGTTTTGGCTTACCAAAACTTGAGAATTTCAAGGGTTGTAAAAAAATTATTTGTGTCTATTAAAAGTAAGTTTTTGTAGAAACATAATGGGAGATTACTCAAATCTTGACAACCAAATTTAAATCTGACAATTTTACTTATACATATACAAGTCCACAAAAGTAACGATACACAAGTTTGAACTCCAATTTATCATAAAATATAATGAATAGGAAAAACTGTTAAATTATCCAGTGAAAAACATTAATTTGCAAAGCAAATGCATATGATTAAAGAATCTGATCAAATTGGAAAGTGAGAAAATACCGTGTTATTGAACACAGGAGTCAAATTTATTTTGTGGAAAATGATGACATAATTATAAGTCTGCACTTAATTTCGAAGATGAGAATTAAGTATTCAAATATCTGCAAAGGCATTCAAAATTTTAAGCAGACCATGTTCAACTTTAAAGTTTTAAGTTCAAATATCGATTTTTGAATATTTAGGTGAAAATACGATTTTTGAAATAACAAAAATTGCAACTACAAAATATTCGCGTATTTGCCTTAAAACAATGGTTTTGATAAGAAAATAACACTCTGTAAATATTAGACGATTTGGGCAAATATTTACCTTGGTACAGTCATGACCGTGTATCCAATTTCATTATATATGGAAAATACATTGCCTTGTATCTTTTCTTTTGTTGACTAGTATATTATACAAGCAAATATTATATCTTCAAGTATATGAAAGATATTTGTATAAGTATGAACATATGACAACTTGGACTAAAGACAAGTCGGACCAAGAAAGCTTGGACCAATTTAAAGACAACTTGGAGCACTTTTAAAGACCCCTCAGATTCCATAAGTATTACCATTGAATGATATAGGAATCACTGTGTTTGTCTGTCCATGCGCCTTGTCGGTGCAACTCCTTCTAAACAGCAATACTTCAAGTTGTTAATAGTTATGCAAGGGTGGGGTGTTCTTTTGAGAGGTCACTTACAGTTCTAATGGCATTTAATGGCATGTGTGTACAAAATATATGCATTTAATAGAAAAGCACAATTTGTACTACTAGGATTTTATTATTTATATGACCTTTTTTGTAGCTCTGGAGATCAAAGAGTCCAGTGTCTTCAGTGTTTACAAGAAGGAAATGCAGATGAAGAATACAGTTTCATCAACCAAGATCAGGTATTAGATTGTGTTTCGTGTGGTTGTGTTAGCTGTATCTAACCACATTATATAGCATTCAAAAGACTCTAAATGATGCTACTCACTTTGTATATTTATCAGTTCCTTTGGGGAACCAACTTATCTTGTGCAGTTTTGATTAGTGTGGGGTCAAAGTAATGCATTAAAGCAAAGGATGGAATTAAGGCTAATTAAGCTCAGTAAGGACGATAAAAGAGATATTCTAAATATACTTACAACTTGTGTCCATTAACTATCGAAGAAGTATGTTGGTAGGGGTAATGTTTAATTTATATATTATATATATGTCAAACTATAGCAAAATCTTTGGCTTAAATTTCGGAAAATTTGGTTTTACTAACCTCAGGTGAATTGAATGCTTAGATACCCGCTAGTGAACTACTGACTTTCTAAATAATGTAAACCCATTTGGGTATTTATGTAAAATGAGAAATATTTGTAACATAATAAAAAAAATGTTATATTATATTGGGTGGAGAGGATAACAAGGGTTCACATGGTCATAGTTCACAATTGGTAACTTAGCTTAGTGTGATTGAGTAAATCATTATCATGATTATTGCCAGGTGAAATGTGGTAATAACATTTTCAGTTACAGATGAAGAAGAGGTTGGGTTGACATTAAAACAACATCATAATAACAAATTTTCATGAAAAACGATATTTAAGAGGTCATGAAATAATTGTAGTTTCATGAAAAAAGTCAATAGCTAATGACAAGATTTTATTTGAATAAAGGGAACTGACATGTACACCAGTTCTTTTTAGATAAATTGTATTAAAATCTCTATCGGTAGTTAAAAGATTTAATTTTGTTTTTGTAAGTCAATGACATACATGTACATGCAGATTAGAAAACTATACCAGAAAATGCATTATGAGAGATATTCATTGTTGTAAAAAACTTATAAATTTGTTTGATCTTGTTGAATCGTCCAAATATTGAAGAATGTTTCCAAACCTTACCAAAAATTTGCTTTCGTTTAGGGCTCTATGACTATGCATTTTTTTCCTCCAAGCAGGTCAAGTTTGATTTTCATTGTTGTAAGAATTACTGTTCTACACTTGCCCAACTTGAATTGTCTAAAAATGGTACAAACAGTTCTAGTAACTCAAGTTTAATTTGGAACAAGAATTTACATATGTTACTTTGCAACATAACTTCCTACTATTTGAACTGATTAACTTCAGGCCAGGTTTGAATTTCACTGTTACCATAGTAACCAATGGTGACATTTGTTTATTTTAAAATGTTGAAAAAATTTCAGGGAGATGTTATTAGTTTGCTATGGGCTATGAAGGATCACACAACTTTCTACTCTAAAATTCAGTCTAAAATTGATTTATCTCTGGTATATGCTTATTTTTAGATATAATTCACTTTGCAATGTCATAAAATATTGAAATCCTCAAGCAGATTTATTTTTTTTATATCAATAAGAATTAATGTAGATATTGTATCCCAGACTATTTATTTTAACATGGATAAACTAATTATCATTCTGCTGTTTGGTTGGGTTGTTGTCTCTTTGACACATTCCTTGTTTCCATTCTCTATTCTTATTGTTATGATCATATTTGTAGATATTTCCAGACATGGCTGTCAAGAGAGAGATGTCTAGTATTGAATCTAAATGTGTAAATCCTGGTTGTAGCTGGAAAGGAAACTTCAAACACTATGAGGTATATATTATCTGTATTCTCATAACACATCTTAACACACGACTGTGATGTGTAGGACAAGGTATTGGTTAAATGTCAGTTAAAACAGCAAGTCAAAAATAGCATTAAGGATGTTAGATGATAAATACAAAAATAAGGTGCCTATGAGACAACTATCAACCAGAGTTCAAATGAAGTGAATGTAAGCAATTATATGCAACTCTATGTCCTTCAACAATGAGAATACTGTATAGTCGGCTATAAAATTTCAAAATTCAGAAAGTGATAAGATGTGAATCAAACATTTATTTCCTAATTTCCTAAATCAGATAAGATTTATAGTGATTATAAAACATACCAAGGTTCCTGTAAATTTAGAAAATTTCTAAGTGCTTTTATTTGTGATTGATGAACAATTGACAAATATTTGAGATTGATCATTACGATTTCAGGAAATGCTGAATACAAATAAAGCTATTAAAATTTAAAATGTGACTGTGCAAATATTTTTATTTGCGAAACTTATTCTGATTCAATTTTTCGCAATAATAAAGTCATTGCAAAAATTTCTGAATTTAAAGTATTGGCAGTCTTGAACCACTTAAAATTGATAATTCAGAAGTTTAAGTTTAAACATATTTTATTGTCCAAAAACATTGACAATAGGATCAGACACAAGTTTTGCAACTTAGAGAGTCTTCTCCATGACAATTCAGAAGAAGTGACATTGTATGGTTATCAATCATCAATATTTTGTATTAAAGGAAAGGAAACTGAAATTTTTTGACTTTTCAAATAACATTGTGTTTGTTAGGCACATTTCAAAGAATGCAAGTACCAAGCCAGTCCATGCACCCAATGTGGGAATCTGATTACTGCATCCAAGTTAAATGACCACATGAAAAACGAATGTCAGATGAGAAGAGTTAAATGTAAACACTGTAGTGCAGAGGTTGTTCAACAAGATTTAGAAACGGTATGTAGGAACAAGTTGTAGGTGAGGTTAAGTACACACTGTGATATTCCTAGATAATTAACTGTCATATTCTTCATTTTTGTCAAGCCTGCAACATTTAGCCAGTCATAGTGATTCTAGATTCCTTTGTTGGCGGCATCAACATTTTGGTTAAAGTTTTTTTAGACATCATCATCATCATCATATCTAACAGGGCTTACGCTACTGGGCAACTGGGTTGAAGAAGTCGCTTTCCCCTTTGTAACTTGGCTTTTTTTCGATGTAAAAATAATAGATATATCATGAATGTATATTATAAATTTCCTGTTGTTGCTTATAATAAGTATTTATCAGAATTCGCTAAACTTCAATTTTTTCTGTCAGACCAAGGACTGACAGAAAGCAAACTTTCCTGGTCTTTCCAAAAATTTGGTGGTCCTTAATTTTTTGGAAATTATAGACTACTTTGTTATGTTAGATATTATGATGGAAAACATTGGACAAGGAAATTAAGATACAAAAAGAACCATTTTTGAGACATACACATATGTATGTTAAGGGTTTAAGGGTTTCCTTTTTATATGTTTTCGGTGCTGTAGGTCAGAATTTTAATATACTTTTTGGAAAAGATTGGTTCACTACAGAGAAAAAAAGGTATTTTCACCGAGTCTGGTTCCGGTATTATAATAATGTTCGCCCTTTACAATATATCAATGAACAAAATGAATGCAGTTTTTCTCAAATGGTCTTTCACGAATTTCGATTATATAATTAAGTGTTTGCAACAAATGAATGGTTGCCGAAAAGTTTTTGAAGAAATCCTCACACAAACAATATGGTCCGAGCCATACTATGTAGTTGGTTAGAAAATCATGAACACACAATTGTTCTTCCCATTATCAATATTCAAGATCTTTAACGTATTTCAGCTGTTTTCATTTTCATGTGCATACGACAAAAGTCACCCACAACTCTGCCATTGAAATTACTTCAACTGGTTCTAAAGTTATGATTTCTGATCACAATAATGCAAGGTAAACCATTGTCCAATGATTTGACAAACTACCAATGTGACGGAACAAACCACAATGACCCTTTTTGTCTGTCTGACAATCTGACCGGTTCAAACGTGAAAAAATGGCGGACTTCGTAAAGTTTTGGCGGTCGGGATCGTCAGGATTTTCACAAAGTCAGTATTTATCAGTGAAAAAAGAAACATAAATATATGAACTTTTTTAGGATATAAAATGTGTATTATTTTGCAGACACACCAAAATGAGTGCCCCAAGTTTCCTCTGAAGTGTGACTCTTGTGGAAAAAAGAAAATACCTAGAGAAAAGGCATGTATATGTTATATAGGTGTATTTTGAAAATTATAAATGTGAAAAAATCCTATCTTTCCTTGCTTAGACCTCACTGGAATAAGGTAAAATATATATAATTGTTGATGTGTGTTAAAGGTATCTCATCCTTAACTTTTGAATAAGTGTTTGCCAATTTTTTCTTGAAAATCCTACATTCCCTTCCCTATCAACAAAATGTACATAGAAAACTTGGCTCAAGTAGGATATATGTATTTTGATGTTTGATTGGACAGATATTCTAGCTACATTTGTTTTAAAACTTTTGATTGGACAATTAAATCATAGGAAGTTGGATCATGTGCATTCATCTTCCACACAATAACTTTTATATATGATGTTCCTAATTGTGCTTGAACAAAAAAACTAACTTAATTCTCATTTGTACTGTGAAGGCCATGTCCTATATATTTTATTTGACTGTCAAATTCATAATAAACGTGACATATTGCATTTATGTAAGGCTTTCAATTTTTTTCCTTAACAACAAATTCACAAATAATTGCTTTCAAAGTATTAAATTTACTTTGATGTGCGTTTTGTGAGGATGCCCTTTTTCCGTGACAATTTTGAGACGCACAAATTTAATATTGGTTGAAAGGGCACATCCTCAGCAGTAGATATTTTTTCTAACAACACTTTCAAATAAACTATAAATATACATTATAAAGGATATTTGGGATAAACATCATTGAGCAAGCAACCTAACAACACAGCAAACATAAGATACTCTTTTGTAAACATATACAAGCGGGGGGGGAAAGATACTTGCATGTAAACAATTACAAGAAGACAAAAAAGATACTAACTTGTTAACATTTACAAGGAAACAAAAAGATACTCACTTGTAAACATAAACAAGCAAACAAAAAACAGATACTCACTTGTAAAAAAGTACAAGCAAACAAAATATACTCATTTGTAAATATATACAAGCAAACTAAAAAATGCTCATTGTAAACAAATGTTTCAAAAATTATACAAAGAAATTCTACTGAACAGTATATTGTCATTACATTAATGATGTTTGCTATTAGTTTATAAAGAGGACGATATCAAATGTAAGAAGTAATATGTTGTGTAAATGACTAAAATATGTAAATATTATAGTTAAATATATCTTAATAAAGCGTTAACTAACTCGTTCATACTTATTTTATGCAGATGCAACAACACATTGACAAAGAGTGTGCCAATCAAAAAATACAATGTCCAGTACCAGCTTGTGAAAAGGTAACTAAAAATTTCATGACTTGAATAAGTGAAGGGGAAAGCAATGACCAGTAAAATGATATTAAAAGTGTGAATCTTATATCTTACGTTCACTTTGTGGCTTTCAGTAACTAGTTTATAACAAAACTGTCAAGTGTTAGACCATGATTGAAAAAAAAAAATTTCCAATATGATTTAAATAGCAACATCATAGTCCTTGATATGTATGATTTTACAGTTCAAATGAATTCATTTCAAAAGCAGTTTGATGGTACTTTTTCACAATCAATGCTGGAGATGTTGAGGATTCACTTCGGCATATTTCTCTGTGTAATCAATAAAAGGTATATAGTGTTGTTAATCAGAGTATTGTTACACCAAATTACCAACAGTCATCTTGTTTCACAGTGATTCATTGAATGCAAACAACAGTCATGACAGGGATTTTTTTAGTTCCTTCCATTGATGCTCTGAATTTTTGTGACATGGGATATCTGTATTCTTCCTTTTTTATTGACATGGTCATTTTACATTTTGAAGGTTATTAGATGAAAACCTTTAATGGCCATTGTTCACACTAGGCTTAAATCTTGTCTGATGGATATGGACTATATCTGGTTTTTGGATATATGATAGGTTAATTTATTTAAATATATGGTAAAGTTTACACTATTTCTAGGCATACTTTGATATGAAAATTATAGGGATATGAATACCAGTTACCCATTTAGCCTGGCTTATACATAATTATTGTGAGTCCTATTAATTGTCAAGTTCATAGATCAAAGGTCATTATATATATAACTCAACATTTAAGATAATCATTTGAGTTTTGTATTGTGCTGCAAATAGAATATTTCTTTAGCAGTATCCTTTATGCATGATTTGAATCAACAATTTCAATATATGAAAATTACTTTAGAGAAGATATTTTTAATAAAGAAGATCAATTAAGTAGAAATGTTTATGTATTATTATTTCCATAAAAAGTAAAATCTATTTCAGCATATAACCAAGGTAATAACTTTATCATGTCCTCTAAACCTTTCATAAATGCTTCATATAATGTCAAATGCATTGCATTTCATAATCTTCTCAGTGAACACTTTTTATTCAACAATTTAGACATCATAACTATAGGGAAAGCTCCTTCTTAACAGTTGTTATTAAGACAGCAAAGTGTCAAATTGAAAAGTGCAAAAAAAAGTTCATCATTGTAAAGATCACAGAGAACAGCATTGATTTATTTTGCAATTTTAACCAATCTCAAGTTTGTCTTCCATTGAAGAAAGTAAAAAAAAAATCAGCATCATAGCAGAAATATTTGACATCACAGGGCAAAAGTGATGTTTTTGTAAATGTCATTAGATCACCTGGCACAAAATTGAGGTCAATTTGAGGAATTTTTTTATGACTTTTTTTCAGTTTATATTAAAAAAATAATTTTAATTCTGTGTGTAAATGTTGACATGGTTACCAATCAATTTATTTCATCTTATGTCTGAAATATTTCATGGCTATACTTCATTCAAGCTTCATCCTCACTACTATTTTTCTAGCTGGATTTTAAACTTTTTTCATGAAGTCTTATGAAAGCTGGTATGTTAACATGACATTTCTGGATTTTGAGGATGAATAATTCTATGATTCTCTATAACTCCAGTATGCTTATGTATATACGACTTTCACATTCAGGTATTTTCCCTTTACATTTCCTAAGTCACAGTGCTTATTACTACATCACAGTAAGATTATATTGTTGAATGACGAATTTTAAGTTAATTGACCTCTGGTCAACTGGTGTAACTCATTTAAAAATAGAGAACTAGAAAATGGTCTATGAGTGTTCACTAATAGATTACTAATAATTTAAATATTTGAAATTGGCCTTAATCAGTTTAGCATATTGTAAAATGAAATTTGCTTGTTAATATCGCCTGTAATTTTTATGCATCCTTCAAACATATCTAACAGGGCTCACACTACTGGGCAAATGGGTTGAAGAAGTCGTTTTCCCCTTTGTCACTTTGATTCAATAACTTAATATGAAAGTATGGTATGCTGGTATCTGTATGTCTGTCTGTTGGTTCAATTACATCTAGTGATAAATCAAGTTTGCTTTGTCAGATTCTAATGTTACAAAAAAAAAAAATTCCTATGAAGACAAGTTCCCTTTTTAATTAACACGATTTCATATTGCCATTCCAAATTTTTGTGGATTTGAATGTTAAACACGTCACAATTCTGTGCATGTCTCATTATAACTCAAGTGTATGTTAACAGATCTTTTAAAAAGTTTTTACACAGAGTTTAGTTCAATAATTTTAAGCTTCCTTTCAATTTTGAATAATATCATATCAATAAGACACTCTCTTTTAATTTTGGTTATTTTCAAAATTACTGTTCCTATTTTATTTTTTTCTTGCATCGTCTGCAAAGCCCAGTTTTATCTCGCCCAATCCCATGAAATTTAATATCAACGTAACTCTTTCGTTTTTTATATAAATTAAGACCGTTGGTTTTCCTGTTTGAATGGTTTTACACTAGTCATTTTTGGGGTCCTTCATAGCTTGCTGTTCGTTGTGAGCCAAGGCTCCGTGTTGAAGGCCGTACTTTGACCTATAATGGTTTACTTTTACAAATTGTGACTTGGATGGAGAGTTGTCTCATTGGCACTCATACCACATCTTCTTATATTTATAACAAGTAAAAGTTTCCTCTTACTCACATTTTTAGTGTTTTCAAGTTTGCTGCTCTTGAGTTATGGTACTTTTAAAAGGTTGAAGTTAGGGGAACTGGTGTATAATCAATTTCATTAGCATGTGAACAAGGCACAAAGCTTTTAATTGTATTCTCCTCCTTCATAGGAACATAAATTATTTATTTATTTTATATAGTTGTCTTTAGATTTCTAAATACAAAACTTAAATAATGAAATGACTGTTTCATTTCTCACTCACCATATTAAGATTAACTAAAACACTATTTTAAGATCTTAGCAGGCACAATTACCATTCAATTGTTAATCAAATGTTAAAATAGTAAACATCAAAATAGATTAAGTCCATACAAACAGAATAAGTCCTCTGTTCAAATACAAGTAATATGTCACACTATTACTCTTAAGAACAATTTACAAAAGACAAGCAAATTATGTATACGATAGATTGGGTAAAAATTTAAAACGATAGAATTTTCTAATACTTTGTTAAAATGGAGTTCATATTATGCTTTATAAATAAAAAATAAGTATAGGTAAAAAAGAGAACTATTTAACAATTTAAAGGTTTTACAAAATTGCCAGATTTTCAATTGATAATACATGAAAAAGCACTTTTTATACGACCGCAAAAAAATTTGCCGTTGTATATTGGTATCACGTTGTCGTCGTCAGCGTCGTCCAAAGACATTTGGTTTCCGGACAATAACTTTAATAAATATAAATAGAAATCTATGAAATTTAAACACAAGGTTTATAACCACAAAAGGAAGGTTGGGATTGATTTTGAGGGTTAAAGTCCTTACAGTTTAGGAATAAGGGGCCAAAAAGGGGTCCAAATAAGCATTTTTCTAGTTTCCAGACAATAACTTTTGGAACGGTGTATGGATCTCTCTGAAATAATACCACAAGTTTCCATACCACAAAGGGATGGTTAGGATTGGCTTTGGGGGGTTATGGCTCAAACCGTTTAGAATTAGGGGCAAAAAAGGGGGAAAACAAGGGTTCACAGGACTCATTTTCTTGCCAGAAAACAAATTGGGTAAATTAACTGAACATTCTTATAAAAAAATGAATTATCTAGATTTATCTTCCCTGATATAGCTAAGTTAGGTAAATTGAATTAAACAAGCAAATATTCAGTATTAGTAAAAACAGACTTTATAAAATGATAAAATTCTTTTGTTTAAAATATATACTTTAGTAAAGCTGCCAAAAAATATTTGGAGACTTGTAAAAAAACAAGTTTTTTTTTTAACTTTCAAATCAAATGCAACTGTTTCATATCTAGGTGTGTTCAACTTGTTATATAATAGAACTATCATATGATAAAATTCCTCTGCAACATACATAAATGTACATATCTAATTGTTTCTTCTTTGAAAATATCTCTCATACATTACTCTCTGTTTTTCAATTGCATAAGTTCTTTCTACTTATATAAAACATATATTGGAATTTGTTGTAATTATTTTAGCAAAATATTTAACTCTACATTTTGAAATTTTCAAAATATGTATTTGACTGGATAACTATAATATTACCATGTATTAATTGTCTTGCAGGTTGATAGAAATAAATTTCAACACCATGTTGAACAAAAGCCAGGGTTACATATTGTTCACAATATGGAACAAGTTAGTGTTTTAAGTGAAAAAGTTGAACAGATTGTGGCTCACATTGGAAATAATGAATCTGCAAATAATGTAGGTGTAATATCAGAGCTGAGAAACAAAGTACAAGAACAGGAACAAGCTATCAGATCGATTATAACAACAAGCGGAGGAGGAGGATCAGGATCAGTTGCTGGGGCCGATGTAGGAAACATGATGCAAAAGTTTCAGGCCTTAGAAATCAAGACTGGTACATATGAAGGGATTGTAACAACACTGCATAGAGAAATAGAGAGATGCATCACAGCCATTGAAAATATGGAAAGACAGCGACAACAGGAAAAAGAACAAGTCAACAATGATGCAGAAAGAATAAAACAGCTTGAAGCAAAGTTACACATGAAAGAGGTTATTATTGCAGAACATGCACTGAAAATATCTAACCTTGAAACTACAGTCTATGATGGAAACCTAATGTGGAGGATACCTGAGTGGACAAAAAAGCGCAGGGAAGCAGTAAGTGGGCAGTGTACCAGTATCTATTCAACTGCATTCTACACATCTAGGTCAGGTTACAAGATGTGTGTCAGACTGTATCCAAATGGTGATGGGATGGGCAAAGGAACGCATGTATCTATCTTCTTTGTCATAATGAGGGGAAATTATGATGCTTTATTAGGATGGCCTTTCGGGCATAGAGTCATCTTCAGAATGATTGACCAAGGACAAAATGGTAATCACCTGATTGATTCTTTCAGACCAGACCCATCAAGTACGTCTTTTAAAAGACCGACCTCAGAAATGAACATTGCTAGTGGTTGTCCATTATTTATGCCGTTATCAAAACTGGATGATCCAAGTGTTTCTTATGTTAAAGATGATGTTATGTATGTCAATGTTTGCCTAGACATTTCTGAAGGTAGGAGGAACCCAGCACTTGATCCTGGAACCGGACCTGACCGTAGTTTAAAGAGCAAATAAATTCTATGACAAAAAAAACATTAATTGTTCTTTGAATCTAAAAATGAATTCATATTGAAAATCATAGATTTGTGTAGATATATATGCTTCTTTATTGTAAATATTTATTTTTATCATTTACCACATATAGTAGTAACTTTCCATCTTATTCTCTATTCATTTAATTCTTCTTGATTTTTTACATCCAGCTTGAGAGAAGAAAATAAGTTTAGATTGATGCATATGAAAAAGTAGAAGAGAGTCACTATTCAGAATACTGACAGATAATAAGGTTTAAGTTCAATATGAGGTGTTGATGTCACATGGCATGTATTGTGTTGTAATTTTGCATACATGTCACATTTGTGAATTTGCCACAGTTACATGTAGTACATTTTTTTACCGCAAAACTTTTCCTTGACTTATATGTCAGATGCTCTAAAACCATACATAACTGAACAAGTTTCTGATCAGTTTCAAGTAAACTTGATTAGAGAAAGTATAACAGTCGTCTTCAGAACTTGTCCATCCAAACTTTTTTCCTGAAAATAAAATACCTTTAATAATGCCAAGTATATTACAGAGAAAGGCTGTCTCAATTAGGGACTATGGTTCTTATTTGTATATCTTAGGATATTAAATACAATCAATGATAAGATACTTTAAATGTTTTTTATTTTTACTATAAGTAGTATTTGCTTAATTTCTTTTATATTTATTTATGCTTGTCAAGTATATATATATATAAAACATAATACGTTACATTATCATCCTTTACGACGGACAAAACATAGCTGATTTTAAAGATATACCATCCTACTTGCCATTATACATCATGTACTGTGTTACAATCCTAGATAAAGCCTATGAGGAAAGGCATTACTCGACTAACGAAGGCTATATTTTTATAGCCTAGTTGGTCAAGTGGTCTGGGGTTCTGGACACAGTGCAGACGGTGTTGACATGTCACAGAAGCAAGGATTAAAAAAATTTGCGAACACAAATTTACAGATCTTACATTGGGACAAATTGTATATAAATTATAATATATTATAATTTTGAAGTTAACTACAGCTTAAACTGCATTATTTCAACTACAGCTTGAAGTTTTAAGTGCATTATCTCAATTAGACCTTGAAATGCATTATGTCAATTAGAGCTTGAAATGTTTTATGTCATCTAGAGCATGACATGCATTATGTCAATTAGAGCTTGAAATGTATTATGTCAAAATTTACTTAACGTTTTTAGGAAAAAAATGCAGCTAAACTGAAGTTGGTAAGAAGTGTTTCCTGTCAACAGGTGAAAATTTTATTAAATTTTTTTGCTCATAGTTGAAGGCCCTACAGTGATCTGTAGTAGTTAATTTCTTTGTCATTTGGTCTCCGGTGTAGAGTTTTCTCATTGGCAATCATACCACATCTTCTTATTTTTATATTATATAAAGTTAATCCATTTTTAAAGTTTTTTGTCAAACTTAGAATTCCAAAATATAGAAATACAGCTTTCAAAATTTTGTGAAGATTTATTTCAGAATTGAAACAAAGGGTACAGGGAAAATATGTGAACTTTTGTATAATGCAAAAGTTTCTGAAAGGTCATGATTCTAAATGAAAAAGGGAAGATTTATGTTGTAAAATTCGATAATTTCATGATGCAAAGTTCTTTCTTATGATGGCTGTTGAATAGAGAACTAGAAAATAAACCAAATAGAAATGGAGGTTGGCCAGAAGAAAGGTTTACATGACCTTTACAAATTAAGAAGACCTGCTTTTTAGCTCACCTGACCTGAAAGGTCAAGTGAGCTTTTCTCATCACTTTGCGTCCGTCGTCCGTCGTCCATAAACTTTTACAAAAATCTTCTCCTCTGAAACTACCGGGCCAAATGCACCCAAACTTAAACACAATCATCATTCAAGTATCTAGTTTAAAAAATGTGTCCGGTGACCCGGCCAACCAACCAAGATGGCCGCCATGGCTAAAAATAGAACATAGGGGTAAAATGTAGATTTTGGCTTATATCTCTGAAACCAAAGCATTGAGAGCAAATCTGACATGGGGTAAAATTGTTTATCAGGTCAAGATCTATCTGCCCTGAAATTTTCAGATGAATCGGACAACCCGTTGTTGGGTTGCTGCCCCTGAATTGTGAATTTTAAGGAAATTTTGCCGTTTTTGGTTATTATCTTGAATATTATTATAGATAGAGATAAACTGTAAACAGCAATAATGTTCAGCAAAGTAAGATCTACAAATAAGTCAACTTGACCAAAATGGTCAGTTGACCCCTTAAGGAGTTATTGCCCTTTATAGTCAATTTTTAACCATTTTTCGTAAATTTTTGTAATCTTTTACAAAAATCTTCTCCTCTGAAACTACTAAGACAAATTTAACCAAACTTGTCCACAATCATCATTAGGGTATCTAGTTTAAAAAATGTGTCCTATGACCCCGCCCGCAAACCAAGATGGCCGACATGGCTAAAAAATAGTACATAGGGTAAAAAGCAGTTTTTGGCTAATATCTCTGAAACCAAAGCATTGAGAGCAAATCTGACAAGGATAAAATTGTTCATTAGGTCAAGATCTATCTGCCCTGAAATTTTCAGACCAATCAGGCAACACGTTGTTGGGTTGCTGCCCTTGAATTGGTAATTTTAAGAAAATTTTGCAGCTTTTGGTTATTATCTTGAATATTATTATAGATAGAGATAAACTTTTAACAACAATAATGTACAGCAAAGTAAGTTCTACAAATAAGTCAACATGACCAAAATTGTCAATTGACCCCTTAAGGAGTTATTGCCCTTTATAGTCAATTTTTTACAATTTTCATAAATTTTGTAAATTTTTGTAAATTTTTGCAAAATATTTTCCACTGTAACTACTGGGCCAAGTTCATTGTAGATAGAGATAATAGTAAGGAGCAAGAATGTTCAGTAAAGTAAGATCTACAAACACATCACCATCACCAAAACACAATTTTGTCATGAATCCATCTGTGTCCTTTGTTTAATATGCACATAGACCAAGGTGAGCGACACAGGCTCTTTAGAGCCTCTAGTTTAATGTAAAAAAAGTGTAGAATCTTTTTATATTAAGGTTTGTGTATATTTTACAGTATTGATAGTTCTATTGCAGTACATTTTTATCAATTAATATGATGTGTTGAACAAGGAATTATTAATTTCTTTGACACGTTAATAAGAAATTCCCTGTACATTGTTGCAACAAGAACCTATTACCATAATAACCAAATATTGCAATGTCTTACAGCTGTTTAGTTTATAATTGAGACCATGAAGAAAATGTGCATAACAGGACCAAAGATTACAATCTTTAAAAAGAAATCAGTGTTTCCAATTATTTCAATTAAGTGAAAGTTCTATCCATGATTCTCTCTCTTTTCACTTCACTGTACAAAATAAAAAGTCAAAATGATTAAAGTATTTGTGTATATGTCAACATGTGCTTTTAATAATGTTGTCTGAAGATATGTAGCTTTGGCTTATCTAAAACATTATGTGTTTTTTGTTAGTTTGTTTTCTCTGTTTATGTTATCAATTTTATGTTTTTGTAAATATTGTGCTTAATTAGACTTTTTAACTGCTTTGTACATATATTTGGATTATACTATGTTATGGGTTTGTTATTGCTATTTGTCCACTAATATGGATAAGTTGTTCTTGATTATTTTTCTAAATAATTAAGGATGAAGATTTAAAATTGTCTTGTTTTCATAGAAAAAGGTGGTAAATTGCCATTTATTTAAACACTGAATCAATTATAGAAATGATAGGGAATATTAAAAGCAATTTAAATTCAATTAAAAATCACCAAGCTGAGGATGGAAAATCACAAGACATTGTCATACCATTAAAATAATTAAAAATTCTCTGTCATCAATAAATGTTACAATGTACCTTCATATTCTCTTTCTAAACTTTTCTTTGGCAAGTCCTTTACGGTGTTTTATTCTTTTATTTGTTTTCTCGTAGGATTTCCTTAAATGAGACTTTGTAGATATCAGACAATCTAATAATTTAGATAAAACTACATTTGGACTCATCGACTCTTTTTGTTATGAATACCAATTCTATCCATAAAGTGCACATATTTATTTTAGTTTTGTGTCTGGTACTTTAAATTTCAGCAAATATTTAGAAAATAGCTCATTAGTCAGTTTGCTTTATTTTAACTTGTAACTTGAAAAAATATTTATTCAGCAATATAACAAGGTTAAATGCATGTCTTTGTAAACAGTTGTATCCTTTAATTGATAAAAATGTTTTAAAAGACATCATTGATATAATTTAAAATAGATGTAACAAAAAAGTAAATGTATATAGCACACTTAGTCAAATGATAGTTCTATCATCTATGTATCATATATTATAGATGATAATATTTATTCCCAAACTGTTTTTTTTTTAGATTTAATCAGGTGGTGTTAAACTAATAGATATTGTGCATTTTTTTCATGCTTATTATGTACTTGCACCGAGTTTTATAAAATAAATATATTGATGTTTACTGATACATTGAGATTTTTTAAAGGGTTTAACCTGTTGGCAACTGTTTTATCACATCTGAAATCTTGAATACAGTTTTAGTAAGAGCTTTACTTACTTTCAGGCTCAAGAGTATAAAATGTTGCGAGGACAAATACGGTCAATACTTAAGCTACATATTGAAAACTTATTGCTGATGACATTGGCTCGTCTTGACTTGCTAAATATGACCTTTATTTGGGTTATTAAATGTTAATGTTGTCTTATTTAAAAATAACATTTAGTTCCTTTCCGTTATGAAACTATTATTTAGTTTCTGCTTATTAGTCCCCTACCGACGACACATTCCACATTTATTTGTCATTCTTGAAGATATTCATTTGATAATTGGTATATAGTTTAATCATGACAAGTTACAGTTTAAATTTGAATTTTGTTTGGGTCTGATAATTTTGTGCAGAGTTATGGTCTGTCCATCCGTCAGTCGGGCAAATCAGTTTTCCACACTTTTTTTCTTCATGATTGAAGATATTGATTTGATATTTGGTGTTTTGTATTATCATGACAAGTTACAGACCAAGTTCGAATTTTTATTTGGTCTGATGATTTTGTGCAGAGTTATGGTCCTTGGACTTAGAAAATTCACTCAAATGATAATTTTTCCTCACTTTTTTTCGTCATGCTTGAAGATACTGATTTGTAAAAATTGGTATATAGTTTTATCATGACAAGTTACAGATCAAGTTCGAATTCTGTTCAGGTCTGATGATTTTATGCAGAGTTATGGTCCTTGGACTTAAAAAATTCACTCAAATAATAAGTTTTCCACATTTTTTTTTGTCATGCTTGTAGATATTGATTTGAAAATTGGTATATAGTTTTATCATGACAAGTTACAGATCAAGTTCGAATTCTGTTCTGGTCTGATGATTTTGTGCAGAGTTATTGTCCTTGGACTTAGAAAATTCACTCAAATAATAAGTTTTCCACACTTTTTTTCGTCATGCTTGAAGATATTAATTTGAAAATTGGTATATAGTTTTTTCATGACAAGTAACAGATCAAGTTAGAATTTTGTTCCAGTCTGATGATTTTGTGCAGAGTTATGGTCCTTGGAAAAAAAAATCACTTAAATAATCAGTTTTCAACACTTTTTTTCGTCATGCTTGAAGATATTGACTTGATATTTGTCATGAAGTTTACACCATGACAAGTTATAGATCAAGTTAGAATTTTGTTCCAATGCAATGAATTTTTAACCGGTAGGGGACAATGTATTGCCATGCAATACTCACAGAATGCTTGTTGAAATATATGATAGGAGGTAATTATAGGGATGGTGTTATGAAGCTATGCTGTTTGGTATTTATAACAACCTTTCTGATTGACGTAATTAATTTATTTTACTGCAACTTGGTTCCAAGAAATGGGTCCAAAATTTTTTTATAGATGGGTCAAATGAGCTTTACTATCTGCTTGATGTCCATTGTCGTCGTCCGTTAATGTTTACCAAAATCTACTACTCTGAAAGTACTGGGCCCATTGCATCCTAACTTGTCTACAATTATTAGTTGGGTATCTAGTTTAGTAATTGTTTTGATGATCTTCCCTTCCAACCAACTTGGACGATATTGCTAAAAATAGAACATAGGGGTAAAATACAAGCATTGTCTATCATTTTCAAAACATCTAAACAAAAAGATAATCGAACGTGACAGAAATGTTCAAAATGATAAATTGTTCCTACTGTCCGTTTACACCAAGACTTTTAGACGACTATAGGAGTTACTGCCTTTGAATGATAATCTTTACCAGTTTGTTTTGCCTATTATCTTGAAAACTATAATAGATAGAGAGAAATTTTTAATGCTAAGATAAGCAGCAAGACATGATCTATGAATAAATCAAACATGTCTGAAATCATGGGTAGACTCATTATAGGAGTAATTGCAGCTTACTGGAAATGACGATATTTACCTGATTTTTTGCATGTTTGCTTCTTATTTTAAAAACTATAACTAATAAAAAGTAACTTTAAATAGCAAAAATTACCAACAGGACAAGATCTACGAATTTATCATTTTGCCAAAATCATCTGTCAACACTTTCTAGGAGTTTTTGTCCCTTAATGACATTTTATTGTATTTTTGGCTAAATTTAGTAGATGAAGAAAAACTGCAAAAAGCAAAAGTCAACTACGGCAAGATAGCAGAAATTGTCTGTTGACTCCTTGTAGGAGTTATTGCTACTAAATGACAATTTTTGTGGAGCCTGCGACTTCTGTCACAGAAAGCGAGACATAGGGATAGTAATTAGGTGACATTGGCAGCGTTAACTAACTACTTAAAAGCTTAATATTTCAGAAGACCTGGATGCTTCATACTTTGTATATAGATGCCTCATGTAATGAAGATTTTACAAACACAAGTAAATAAAGAGAAACTGAAAACTGAAAAAAATCAGCAGCAATTCAAGATCGACAAGAAGGAGATATTAGTCATTAAAAAATCCAGGTGAGCAACACAGGCTCTTTAGAGCCTCTAGCTTGGTTTAGTTGTGACATGTTGAACTTGTCATTTTAATATCACTGATAGCAGGTCAGTCCAGGTGTTAACATTTTGATTTCAAAGTTTTCTTTTAAGCCATATATCAGATCTTGACTAACTATTTCCAGATATTACCTCTGCAGGATTGAACGGCTATATAACTTGGGTTCTAAAATAAGGGCTAAAAATTAGTCATAACAACTTTAGATAGACTGGAAAACGCGCTATCAGTATCATACGTGATATATTTGTCACCTTGCATATTTAAATGCCAAACAGTCAAACAGTAGTTTTGTGTGTTGAGTGGTATAGTGCATGCATAGCAATTGAAGCAACCGGTGACATCCTTTTTTGAGTTCATGCGATTCCCGCAAAGCTTGTTTTTTCTTGATTTGTATATTCTAGAAAGATTTATGCAATTCACTCATAGGTTATATCATGACTGTTGCGTCAAATTTTTCATATGTCATTTGGGAAGAAAGTTTCTTTACTTTTTTAAACGACTGTTAATGGTATGACGTTGTCGTTGTCATCGTCCAAAGACATTTGGTTTCCAGACAATAACTTGAGTATATGTGTATAGATATCTATGAAATTGTACCACAAGGTTCCATACCACAAAAAAGAAGATTGGGATTGATTTTCGGGGTTATTGTCTTAACTGTTTTAGGAATTAGAAGCCAAAAACAAGCATTTTTCTGTTACAGGATAACAACATGTGTATAAGTGTATGGATCTCTATGAAATTGTACCACAAGGTTCCATACCTCAAAAGGTATGTTGGGATTGATTTTGGGGGTTATAGTCCAAACCGTTTAGGAATTAGGGGCCTAAAACAAGGATTTTCTGGTATCAGGACAATTGCTTGAGTATAAGTCTATGGTTCTCTATGAAGTTATACCACAAGGTTCCATACCAAAAAGGAAGGTTGGGATTGATTTTGGGGGTTATGGCCCTTATTGTTTAGGAAAAAGTGGCCAAAAACAATACGTTTCTAATACTTTGTATAAATTGCTTATTTTTTACTAATTTCAATGGAGTTTAATTCAAAGTCTTGAATTCTTGGGGTTCTTTAATATGCTGAATCTAATTGTGTATTTAGGTTTTGGACTTTGGGTCCTTTTTTTTTTAAATTGGTCCCCATTAAAGTCCAAAACATTCGTATGATTTCATCAAAAATGGAATTATTGGGGTTCTTTGATATGCCGAATCTAACAGTGTATTTAGATTTTTGATTTTGGGCCCGGTTTTCAAATTGTCCATACTAAGGTCCCAGGGTCCAAATAAACATAGTTTGATTTTAACAAAAATTGAATTCTTAAGGTTTTTTGATATCCTGAATCTAAAAATATATTGAGATTTTTTATTTTGGCCCCAGTTTTCAAGTTGGTCCAAATCGGGGTCCACTTTGTTTGATTTCAACAAAAAATTAATATGTGGGATTCTTTGATATGCCGATTCTGACCGTGTATTTATTTTAGTTATTAGACCTTAAAAGGTAAAGGTCCAATATCAAATTTTAAAGGTCTTAGACCACATTCACTTGATTCAGAAACCTCTGCTGTCTTAAATATTTAATCGCAATCCAAATTAGAGCTGTATCAAGCTTGAATGTAGTGTCCATACTTGCCCATACTGTTCAGGGTTCGACCACTGCGGTCCTATCAAGTTCAGTAAAATACAGAATTTAAAAAAAGAATCGAACTTTTTCTTTCAAAAGTTGCTATTTCTTGGTCTTGAAGATTAGCTTCTGTCCAAGTTTCTTAACAATTCATGAAGGTTTACAAATTTATCATGTCAAAAAAAAAAATTGATCCCAGACTGTCTGTAAATGTTAACTGTAAAAAACTCAAATCTATCTATCAAAAAAATACTATAAATGAAAAAAAATATATTTTCAAAAATTTGCTTCAGATATTATCTCTTAACACTAGCGGATTTAGGGGGGTTCGGGAATAATTTATCTAACATATGTTCAAATATTAATAATTTACTACCAGGTAAATTTCCGGAAAAGTAATAAATACAATTTCTGGAAACGTATACTTTAAGTTTCCGGAAACGTAGTATTGAAACTTTGAAAAATTATCGGAAATGCAATACGCCCAAACATTCACATAATTACATGGCCTGGGGGGAATAATTAGAGGATCAAAGGATTTAATTAAGACAATCCAAGACTGCTATCCCTATATTTCATTATTTTGTTGGTTTTATAATTAAAATGACGTTTTCTGTAAGCTTGAATTTAAGAAAAATACTTTCTCACCCTATCATATCCATAAGAATTTTTTAAAGAAAATTCTGCAACTGCTGAGACACCTGCTGAATCTAAGGATATTGCAAACTTTATTTTCACATCTGTACCTAGTGCTCAAATGTTTAGCATTCTAAATGAAAACTGAAAACCACATAGTTCTTTTCCTTTTCCTAAACGAGAAATGTACGGGTTAAAAAGATGTTTCAAATATGCGTG